GGGGGGGGTATTGAATTAGTAATCAGGGGACCTGAATATATCCTAAGACTATGCTACCCAATAATTCAACTAATTTATTCTGAAATTCATATTGTGAAATTGCTTTAGTCCTGAGTCTCCTTATTTGTAAAATGAAATGCGGAAGATGAGTTAATCTCTAAGTTTCCTTCCTGCTCCAAAAATCTATAACTCCACAATGAGTTTGATTCCAAGCCTCAGCAACTGAAAGACAGATGATATTATTGATAGAAATAAAAATGTCAAGACAACCAACTGAAAATGTCTAGATGCTGTAGGTAATATGCAGTTAAAATGCACATATTATCAATATTTGTTACATTATAACTGTCCTAATATAGCCACTTGGTCATATTATCAAATAAGTTTAGTAGCCAACCATTCAAGTAAAAAATCTATGACTATAAAAGGCTAAGTGACTGACCACCCACCTGCCACTATATATGCCGTGCACTGGCAATTTAAAAATATTGTGTGATGTTGACTCACACATGTGCAATGCATGTAAAGCTCTCGCTGGTGCCAATCGCATGTGTGTGTTTTGATCTGTCATTGTCTATCATGAATTTGGTTGAGACTTCTATTATAGAGAAAGGGAAAATAGTGATATTAAAATATTTCTTCTAATTTAATTTCATTTCAATGTGAAGGAATCCATGCACCAGGCCACTAGTATATAAATATTGAATAACTATCCACAGTTCATTTTTTCTCAAGCTTTCCTTCCAGGATTATTGGTTTATGGCTGAAATAGCACATTAATACCCCTGTTTAGTTGTCCATTCCATTTAGTAAAAAATAAAACAAAATGGACTGCCAATGCAGAAATTTAAAACAACTCACAGTAGAAACTTATATTTATAGGGGAAATGTAGATTTCTCTATTTTTTATGATAAAGACATATAAACTATGTCCTAGCACCATTCATTGAAAACATTATCTTTTCCCCCTGATCTATATTGTGTGTGTGTGTGTGTGTGTGTGTGTGTGTGTGTGTTAGCTGTGTATTGTTGCACAGCAAATTATCCCAAAACTTAATAGCTAAAAACAGTAAGTATTTATTATCTCATGATTCCTGTGGGTTGGGAAGCTGGGAATGGGCTGGCTGGGTAGTTCTGGCTCAGGATTTATCATGAATTGTAAATTAAGGTGTCAACTGGGGCTGCAGTCATCTCAAAACTCTCCTGGGAGAGGACTCACTTCCAAGCTTACTCATGTGGCCAGAGGCAGGCCTCAGGTTCTAGCTGTTGAGAATACACATCTCTTCCTTGCTATGTGAGTCTTACCATACTGTTGATTACAATATGACAGCTTGCTTACCTTCTGAGTGAGAGATTGGAGATAAAGCAAGAGAGAGAGCTCCCAATATAAGAATCACAGTCATATAATCTGACTTCAGAAGTGACATCCCATCACTTTCGCAATAGCACAAGAGTGTGAATGCCAGGAGATGGGGATCAGAGGAACCATCTTATAGCCGCCTTTTCCCATTTAAAGCTACTACTAGAGGCCCGATGCATGAAGTTCGTTCAAGAGCAGGCCTTCCTTGGCCCAGTTGCAGGCACTGGTTTCCCTCTGGTACCTGGGACCCAGGCTTCCTTCAGTCCTGACTTTATCCTGAAGGCCATTTGGAAGGACATCTGGTCTAATTAGCATATTATGCTTTTATTATTATAGATACCAGTGCCAATATCACACTGTGTTACTGTAGCTTTATGTTAAGTTGTTATCTGGAAGGTTAGGTCCCTACTTATTTATTCTCCAAATGTGCTTGCCTTTTGAAAGACTCTAAAAATCGAATCTATAAATAATTTATTGAGTTCATCAAGAACCCGTAAGATTTTTATTGGGATTACTTTATATTAATAAATTAATTTGAAAGCAAATCGATATTTTAAGACACTGAGTCTTTCTATCCATTCACCTGGTTTATCTCTCACATATTCTAAGACACTCACTAGAGGGATTTGAGGTGGGAAACACACACACACACACACACACACAGTTTGGATGTTTTTTCTATAAAACATCTCAGATAAATTTCTTTTGTCTGGGCTTACTATACAAAAATTCAGTATTAACACACAATATATAACAGAGTTTGTATATTGCCTCAATTTCTGTGTTTAGTAGCTTTAAGGTCAATCTCCATGTTAAAGTCCTGTAGTTCTAATACATTGAGTTTGGATGATCTATCTCTCAATAAGTTAGTACTAGATATGGCCGAAACCGGTTTGGCTCAATGGATAGAGCATTGGCTTGGGGACTGATAGGTCCTCGGTTCGATTCCGGTTGAGGGCATATACCTTGGTTGCGGGCACATCCCCAACAGGGCGTGTGCAAGAGGCAGCTGATTGATGACTCAATAAGTTAGTACTAGATATGCACGAAATTTGTTGAAATTCTTATCACCTTTTTGCAATGGACATCTATATTCAGTTTGAATCAACTCTCTCTTCTTCTGGGAACTGGTTTCCTTCCCTCCCTACTGCTACCAGGTGAATTCTAATCCAAACTGCCCAACAGCAGTGCCTTGACCACAGGAGTAAGCACAGGTCCTAGCCTCAGCCAATCATAGCTTCTCCCTGGATTTTATCACATTGGAATTCAGAGAAAAGATTAACTCCTCTCTGGTGAGAGACTGAGAGGCTAAAAACTTCAAGTTACTAGACAACTGGAGCAAGTGTGCCTGACAAAATGAAACTGACATGAAGAAAGAAGTGCCATGAGAGATGGAGACATCTTGGTGGTGTCCAAGGGCATAGTCCCAGATTCCTGATGCCTGAGGCCAGAGGCATCTCTGCCCTGCTTCAGTTTGATTAGGTGAGCCAATAGGTTCCCATTTTGCCTAGCCCTAACCCCTTGCAAGCAACACTTCTGGCATCCACCTACCTTCTTGCTAATTTAAAGAGACCCTCCTATCCACTTAAAAACTCTCCTTCAGTTCTGGCTGGTGTGGCTCAGCTGATTGAGTGTCATCTCATGCACCAAAAGGTCACTGGTTCGATTCCCAATCAGGGCACATGCCCAGGTTGTGGGTTCTGTCTCCAGTCAGGCTGTGTGTGGGAGGCAACCAATCAATGTTTCTCTTCTCTCTTTCTCTCTCTAAAAAAAATCAATAAAACATATATTTTTTTAAAAACTCTCTTTTACTCATTCATTTATTAACAAAGTTCTTTTCTAAATTTTGTATTTGCCAGTAATGATAGTCTTTTAACAACAGGAAATATTTATTGAGCATATATTTTGTTCTAATCATCATAGAAGAGTGTGGATCCTGAGAAAGAAGATACCTACTAAGGACTCTCAGTGGCTTAAATGGGCTCAAATTGAAAAAACAGAGCCTAGCAGTCATTTTTACACAAGAAACTTCTCATGCAAGTTGCATTTCAGGGAGAATCCTGCACTAAGCTATCTGTCTCCTCCCGCACTGAACTCCCCACCTGCATTGTGTCTCTGTCATTTAAGCAAGACTTTACAAATGAATTCCTCAAGCAGTAGGTTTGAGGCTTTCCCCATCCAATTGGAACTGTACATCTATAGTCCCATAAGCATCTTCACTGACCAATCAGGACAGTGTTGGGGTTTTTTTTGGACCAATCAAACTTTGAGGATTTGGAGTCCTCATTTGCATAAAAACAGACCAATCAGGGAAAAGGGGCAGAGAGTTTTATCTATATAAGTCAGCTTTGGCTCAGACAGTGCACTTTCCCTTTCCACAGAAGACTGAAGATAACTGAAAGCTGAAGACTGCGTTTCCATGTCTGGAGCTGAAGCACTTTGTTATTTTTATATATTTTATTGATTTTTTACAGAGAGAGATGGAGAGGGATAGAAAGCTAGAAACAGTGATGAGAGAGAAACATCGACAAGCTGCCTCCTGCACACCCCCTACAGGGGGAATGTGCCCGCAACCAATGTACATGTCCTTGACCGGAATTGAACCTGGGACCTTTCAGTCCGCAGACCGAAGCTCTACCACTGAATCAAACAGGTTTCGGCTGGAGCTGAAGCACTTTGATCAGACCAGTGCAGTAGCAGAAATAAGCACAGTGGAGCAGACCTGAGTGGAGCAGACCTGAGTAGAGCGGAACAGAGCTGTCTAACCTGGATCCAGAGCAGCCTGGGTCAGTGCTGTTCCACAGTCATCAGTCTTGCTGTATCACAATTGAGTTGTTTGCACTAGTTTCCTTCTGCACCACACCCCAAGTTGGGGATTCCTGTTGGCATTAAATTGGCACCAACAACAAAACATCAGTTGACAACAGTGATGACTAAGTCTTCAAATGAAGACAATTAAAATATGTGCCTCAGCGGAATTAACTTAAAAACAAGTTCTGGATCTTTGACTCTTAAGTGTGAAACAATGACAAATCTCATTTGATCCTCAACCAGATCCTGCAAGGAATCTCAGAGGGGCCAGTTATACCAAGCTAATAAATAGTGGAACCAAAACCTTGACCTAAGTTTTTTACTAAGTCAGAATTGTTTTAATTATCCTGTTCTGTTTAAACTTAGACTTGGGGATTTCTATACTTTAAAAATAATAACTCCCAATTCTCTTTCCATCAGATTCCAATTTCCTATCAAGTTGCAGCCCTGAGGTATGAATGGTTACCGAATTTTCACAAAATCAGGTCATCAAGCAACGAAGAAAAGCCACTCTTGTCAGCCAACTGTGGTGTTAGTTTATTTTATTTGCCCTTTAAGCGGTCCTCCATTAAAGTCTTGTAGTTCTAGGCGCAAGGCACCTTGGGAGTTGTAGTCTCGGAGCACAGACTTCTGTGGCCCGAGGCGCTGACTCACTGACACTCAATCAGCCCAGAACCAATTTGCTCTCCGCACAGCTATTGGCTGGAAGGCAGCGAGTGCCCGCCCCGCGGCTTGACGCGGTGGCTGGAGGAGGCCACCCGGGGCTGGGCGTAGTGTGTGGAGCTCGCCCCGTTCCCGGTACCTCCGTCCGTGATACAGCAGCGCAGCCATGGCAGAACCGCAGCCCGCGTCCGGCGGCCTCACCGACCAGGCTGCCCTCGGTTGTTGCTCGGACCCGGACCCCAGCACAAAGGTGGGCGCAGAACCTTTTTCTCCCGAGTCCCGGGGCCCAGCGTGGCGCATTTGGGGTCCAAAGATAGAGCCGATTCCCCCGGGCTCAGCCAGGCCCGGCTCGGACTGGATTCGAACCCCATTCGACCGCCTGTGCAACTCTGTCCGCCTTGGGCGGGCCGAAGTGGGCTGGGGAGAGGACTAAGGGTGTGCAATGGGGGGTCCGTGAGAGGATCCATTTCTTCAGATTGTTTCAAAGCCTGCAGCCCAACTTGCATTAACTTTTTAGTTTGGGGATGTTCACTGAATCCACAACTAACTCAGAGTCAGATTCGCTGTCTGTGGGTGTGCGTGTCCCCAAGGTCAGAAACCGTGGCGAATTAGAAGAGCAATTTCAGAACTAACACCCAACCCAGGTTCCAAGGTCCCTGTCCATGCCGGCCTCTCCCAGCCTGCAGCATTTTCCGGTCCTTGCCCTGGCTCCAGGCCCAACTGCTGGAAGCTAATTTGATCTCTTTAACCCCGCCCAGAATTTCACTTTTCCTTCGCTTCTACGTATGTATGCTCACAGTCATCCTTCTGCCCTGCCTGTGCGATTTAGCTCTAGGAGAGATCACAGAATCTTGGAGATTAGATCCAAAAGGATTCGTAGAAATTTCTTCACTGATCTACTCAGTGGAGGAATGACCTGTTGCACATGAAGGCTCTCATCCCTCCAGCTTGCTTAACTTGTCTGGACTAAGAGCCAGTGTAACTAACTCACTGAGGTGTGGTACTTCCGTTGTCAAGATTAGACACAGCAGTTGCTGGGGGGTTTGTTCATCAGTGTCAGTAAACGCCTTCATAATTATTCACTGGGCTGGGGAATTTCTAAATTCCTTGAAGATTAAATGTGTTTGGCTCAGTGGATAGAGCCTCAGCCTGCAGACTGAAAAGTCCCAGGTTCGATTCAGGTCAAGAGCACCTGTACCTGGATTGCTCAGCACATCCCCATAGGGGGGTATGCAAAAGGCAACATCGATGTTTCTCTCTCATCGATGTTTCTAGCTCTCTATCCCTCTCTCTTCCTCTCTGTAAAAAAATCAATAAAAGATATATTTTTAAAAATGTGCTTTATGCAGCCCTCTAAGAGGGATGCATGACTTTGGTCCCTGCTTGCTCTTTGCCCTCAGGGCAAAGAGTCATACACCTATAATTGCTAAAGCCTCTGACTAACATCTGTTACTTAGGCAAATATATATACAATCTCTCACACTCATCTCACTTGTATACCTTCTCATAATAATGCTTAGTTATTTCACATAGAGTCTTTTGATATACATTAATTTCCCAGGTAAGTGGGGATTTTATGTATTGGGCTAGTAGTAAAAAAAAAAAAAAAAATTCAGGGAGATCTTTATGAAATTTGTTTAGTACACTTCCTTGCATTCTTTTTTATTATTTTTTTATTAAATTATTATCTGTGTACATATCTTACCACTTTTTCCCCCCTTCCCCCCACTCCCATATATACTCTCCCTTCCCAGAGTTTTCCTTGCATTCTTAATTTACACTCCTCATAATCTAAATTTCTCTTGGTGATTTGGAGTAGTTATTTTTTGAGATCAGAATTTTTTGGCCTTTGAAGTACTACCATGTGGGGTACATAAAATGGAATCTGTACTAGCAGCTTATATATATTCAGTGTGTCAGGCCCTGGGTTGCTGTTTTATCTTATTTATTTTTTAAATATATTTTATTGATTTTTTTACAGAGAGAAAGAGAGAGGGATAGTTAGAAACATTGATGAGAGAGAATCATCGATCAGCTGCCTTTTGCACACCCCCCACTGAGGATGTGCCCGCAACCAATGTACATGCCCTTGACCAGAATCAAACCTGGGACCTTTCTATCCATTGAACCAAGCCGGTATTGGCTGGGTTGCTATTTTAAGTACATCACTTAATTTAATTCTCACAACAATCCTGTGAAGCAGGCATTATCTCCATTTTACAGATGAGACTCTGGCACATAGGTATTGGGTAACTTGTTTCAGGAAGGAGCCCACTCTCACAGCTTCTACTCTTTTTGGCTTCTGGGGTACTGTTTTCAGCACTAATTTTGGAACTTGAGATGAAGTAAATTTAAAAACCTAAGTGAATTAAATTCAGCCTGATTACTGATTACCTGTTATATATAAATAATGTTTGAGGATACTAGGATAAACAAGATGAGGTCCCTTCACCAAACATACACCAACTCTAACATAAAATGGAACTGGGAGTAACGTGCTATTAAAATCAGAAAGCACCCTGGGAGCACAGGAGGTAGACATTCTTGACAATAGCATTTGTGAGATGGTGTGGGCACTGGGTACCTGGAGTCTGGAGACCTACATTTGATCCCCAGTTCTATCATTGACTGCCGTGATTTTTGCAGGGCACTGGGGCTGAGTTTGTAAAAGGAGCATAAAAAGGGCTACTATGATGATAAAGTGCATTGGTGTTCTCAACACTTTGACAAGTTATACAGTTTAAGGCTGCATTTCAGTTGTGGGGACCTGGCACTGCTCAAGCAGAAGGCAGGGATGGGCCCATTCCTTGAAAGATGGATGGGATTCCAATGCCACATGGGAGACAGAATTACATAGCAGGGCATTCTAGGTGGGGGACACCTCTGAGCAGAAATGTGCTGAGATATCAGAAAGGTGCAGTGTGGTGCAGGTTCTGGAGAGGGAAGTTGTTTGTTTTTGGTTGAAGTCTGGGTCATCTAAGCAGCGAAGCACCGGTAGAGGAAGCTAGAATGGTAGGGTGAATCCAGGTCATGGAGAAAGCTCTGAATGTCACATCTAAGGAAGCTGGATTTATATGAGTAGCGAGGAACCATTCATGGTTCTGTTGAATAGGTTGGAGGGATCCAAGCCTGAGGTGATGAGGACGCCTAAAAGGCTCTTCCAGAAAGTGAGGTAAGTGATGAGGGTTGCTTTGAAAAGGAGAGAGCAGCAGTGGTGAAAAATCCACTCACTTGTTGATCATTTGAATCTCTGACATAAAGGTAGACCAAAGAATGAACAGCTGAACATATCCTGGGCTATAGTATTTGGCTGTCTTCAAAAGACCAAATACTTCTGAAAGTCAGTCTTTTTACTGTTCTCATCAGTGTCCTCTGGCACAGTAATTTGTAGTGGTAGGTGATAGAGTTGGGAAAAACTTTCAGGGATGGTGACATTTCAGCTGCGTTTTACCAAATACAAAGGAGGTAGCCAGGTAGAGTTGGATGCAGAGGTAATGGGAAGAAAGAATGGAAATGAGGAAGAAAGGACAATAAACAGAGAGAATGATCATTTATAATAAAAGTCTAATATGCTAAGTGTCTTGTCATCTGGTCATTCATGCAATCAAAGCATAGTATGCTAATGATATGCTAAGGCCGCTCAGTCACTCACTATGATGTGCACTGGCCACCAGGGGACAGATGCTCTGACCAGTAGGTTACCTTGCTGCTGGGCTCTGGCGGATCAGGATTGAAGAGACAGGCCGGACATGCCCTGGAGCCCTTCCATAGTCCCTCCCCAGCTGGCCAACCTCCTGTGTCCCACCCTAGCTCCAATCATGCACAGGTGGGGTGCCTCAACCTGGCCTGTGTCCTCTTGCAATCTGGGACCCCTCAAGGATCAAAGAGACAGTTTTGGCCTGATTCTGCAGGCCAGGCTGAGGGACCCCACTGGTGCACAAATTCGTGCACTGGGCCTCTAGTAGTGTATACATAAAAGCATAATGACATCAGAAAACTGATGCAGGGATCTACAGGTAATGATACTGAAGTTATAAGCAGTGCAAGTTGAGGGGAAGGTACACAAAGCAGTCATTGGGATGCTCAAAGAAATTATGATCACTCATTATGTTCACTTGTTTTTCCCACCTTGCAAATATTTGTATTTGGTAAATATGTTTTATAATATGTGTGTTTTACTAGTATAGTGCATAATTAAAGTAAATATACATTTATTGAGGGTGCAGGCTTCTTGTAAACTCATAAGGATATGAAATAAAAAATATTTGAGATTACCAGTTTAGGGAACTAGTGAAAAAAATGAAGTTAGACAAGTATGCATCAACCATATGTACTTGCTCTTGATACTTTATATTTTAAATAATTTTTTAAATTGATTTTAGAGAGGGAGGACAAGAGAGAAAGAAAGAGAAACATCAGTGAGAGAGACATGGATCAGCTGCCTCCTGCACACCCCCTTCTGAGGATCGAGCCCGAAATCCGAGCATGTGCCCTGACAGGGAATAGTGGGATGGTGCTCAGTCTACTGAACTACACCAGCTGGGCAATACTTTATTTTAAAGGCTGTGATGCACTGCTGAAGGATTAATTTTTAATCCAGAAATGGCACAGTTGGGTTTTCATTATACAAAGATCAATCTGGTAATATTTTAGGAAGATCACTTCGGGCTGCGTTGTAAGCCTGCAAGAAGCAGGAGACCAGGGAGGCTATTGTAATCACCCAGGCAGGTGATCACCAGAAAGGCAAGGAGAAGGATTCCAGAGGGATTTAAGCAGTCAGGTTGATGCGATGCTTGGATTGCATTATGGAGGAGTAGAAGACGGAGAAATCTAGGGAGATTCCAGGTATCTGATTTGGGCTAGCAAGGGATTCTAGAGGTGTTCTTGATGGGAATTAGGAAGGAGCATTTATTTTGGCTGTGATGAATTTAATATTTTGACCCAGGTGGAATTGATGAGTGGGCTGATAGAGACATCCCTCCAGAGCATGGCTTCGGGAATGCAATTTGGGATCAAAAGCAATAGCTAGTAGAGAAATTCTGGGTGTGTTTCATAAATATAACAGAAAGAATAATAAGCAGAATAGCTTACTCTGGGCCAGGCACTATGCTAAGCACTTTCATGCATTATCCCATTTACTTTTCAACTGAACCCTACAGGCTGAGAACTATAATTATCCCCATCCTAAAGACGTGAAAACAGGTTTAGGAAAAGTAATGATTTACTCAAGGTAACGAATGCTAATATAGC